CCTCCCCCGCTCCCGGGGAGGGGGACAGGCTCCCCGCTGCCCCGGCCGGCAGGGGATGCGCGCCGCCGCCCGTCCGTCCATCCGTCCGTCCGTCCGTCCCCCCACGGCACCGCGCTCCTTCACGCATCTTGCTATTCAGCCTGCGCCTTGCAGACAAGGTTACCCCAGAGCGGCTCTGTAATCCTTCACTGAAATAGGCTTTATTGATTGCTCTGGTCTATTGTTCCCTTTTCAAGTCCCCCAAGTTCAAGTTCATCCTGGTGTTACATCATGTCTCGTTGCTAGGGGCAACCAGACAGCCCCAGACGTGACTATCATTAGCAAGAGCGGCGCTGCGCCCTCCCACCGCCCGCCAGCCGCTCTGACGTAGCAGCCCCGCTGCAAACACATTGAAGTATTTATTCTGCCTAATTTATGACCTCCACAGCAAGAGAGACCCCCACTCCAAAAACCAACACTGTTGTATATTTAATTAATCTGTCTTTCTCTGGCACTTGGGAAAGTTAGACAAAGGTCTAATTATTGTGTGTCGCTCCCCACACTTTTCTTTTTGGGGTGACTATTTGCATGGGAAAAGAAACGGCGAGGCTGGGCGCGAGTCCCCTCCCTCCAAAACACCTTTTTTTTCTCCCCTGCCCTATTGACATTTCATGAAATACTTTAGCTGCTTAAGGGAATTAGAAAAAAAAAATCTGATGTGAATGTAACTCCTTCTGAGTTGGTATTCAGTAACACAAATCAACTCATGACATGTTTAAATTTAAATGCTAACCACACACTCTGCGAGTTACTTTAAAGGTTAGTTTTTAATCAATAGAAGTTGCTGACTCCGGAGTTTTTAGCGGCGCAGTGCAGCTCTGGGGCCTTTGTCTAGCGTTGGGCTTTCAAACTTTTTTTTTTTTTCTTGAGATGATTTTAGCAATGATTTGCAGACACAGAGTGCTATTGTGCTCCTGACTAGCAACATGTCAATAAAGGAGTAGAGTTACCATGCACCAGGGTGTCAATATGACTCCTGCAGACACTGCTCGGCCTTAATACCAATGAAAAAACTTAATTAACCCTTACGGGATCGACCCAAAACCGCACGGCTATTTTTTAACCTTCCGTGCCGGGGCTGCTCCGGATCCCCTTTACGTGAAAATCTGCCTTTACGGGATCCGAGCTCCGAGCGCCTCGCCAGCAGCCGCGTCCCGCGTCGCCTGCTCCCGCCGCCCCGCGCGGGTGAGACGTTTTTCGGGCCGAGGCAGCAGAGCAGCCAGACGGAGCGCGGCATTTACCCATCAGATCCCACCAGCACCGCTCTCGGGATACCGTTTTAATTTAGAGCGTCTTACAGCCGAAACGCACACACAGAATGATCCGCCTTTTCTACTAATCATTTTAATATTAAGATCTCATATCCCCCTCAAGCCTTCTATACACGTCTAAGTCTTCCCGGATTAGGTCTGAAGAGCACCATTGTCCTGCTGAGGCACCTGTGAAACTTCTCTGCAAGGGGAGAGGAGACCTCGGCGCCGCAAATGAAAACGTCTAGGAAGCGTATTATGCACTCGGAGCCCTGGTAGATGGGATCCGTCAGGGTTTTTTTGCACGATTAGGGGGGCTTAGAGGGGCAAAAAGAAGCCCCGGATCTCTACGTTCGGATGGCTGAAGGGTTTTATGCCTTCTTTGAGAGCGCTGCTCAGCGCGGTGCAGGCTGTGCTCTCACGTCTAACCACCTTACCCAGTTTATCCCTTCACGTTCTGTAACCTATCCGACTGCACCCAGACGGAGAACAGAGTATTGCCTTTCTTAATTTAAGATCTCCATTTAAATCATGTGCACTATCACAATACGGTCAGGATGATATTATCTCCGCGCGTTTTCATAAAAGAGCCAGTATTTTATTTCCCCTCTATTTACTTTGCAGTGCTATTCTCCCAGCGAGTATAGAGCTAAATGAATCCACCGGAGCTAAAGGTCCTACTCAGTGAAATTACTGCCACACAGTTGTCGGTGCCACTACGGGTCTGTATTGTCCTGCCGAGCACCTCGCTGTCCTTCCCCGGCGCTCAAGGTGAAACATCAGAAAGAATTCTGCAGTCCGGTACAAGATCTTCGCTTCCCTTTCTCCAGTCAAATGAAGAAGTAATCTCATCAGGTTGAAAAGTGCTGACTAAGGATTTAATAAAGTGCCTGCAGATGTGTGTCATCTCTAAGGTATTCAACTCATGTAATGCAAAACAGTTCCACACCGAATGTGCTTATAAAATTCCATTTAACCATTGCAGAGCTCTATTTTACTGTTCTCGGAGGAGTATTATCACACTTCTTTTTTTTTCTTCCTAATTTACAGCACCATGAAAGTTGAAACTCTGCGCTGCCAGTGTCTGAGAATCCTCACAGTAGTAAGGTTTTATGAACCATAAACAATATATACTTGACTGAATCCTAAACAGGAAGTCTGAAATGGCAATTACGTTTCTTTGATAGCGCGAGTCTATTTGTTCTTATGCTCTTCTGGAGATAGCAGAGACACACAAAAATCCTCGAGCCACTTCTGACAATCGGATCCTTTGTATGGGAAGAACAGCAAGGAAACACTCCGCAATTCAGGATATTTAAAAGGAAAAAAGCTGAAAGTGCCTCATTGACTCCGGTCGCAGTTTCTGCCTGCGTCAGGAGCCCAGAAACAGGCCCATTGTTTATTAAAATCTTCCTAAACCAGCCTTCCTGCGCGACGTGGTTCACCCCCGGCTCCCAAGCCTGACCGTGAGCGCCACGCACGTGGTTTAAACCAGAAAGACAATCAAATGCAAACTTGTTAAATTCACTTCTACCTGCACATCTCCTGCCTTAACAATGAGACCTTTCAGCTCGCACACACAAAAAAAAAAAAAAAAAAAAAAAAAAAAAGTGAGGCTTGTAAAGCGGCCCTATCTGTTTTTCAAATTAAAAAGTTAAACAAAAGTCCTCAAGGGCAAAGTTTAACGCTGCGGAAGGAGGTTGTTAATGTGGAATCCAGAACTGGGTGTGACAGTTGGCTTATTTCTCCGGGCGATGTAG